TTGTTGGCAACTCCGTCCCACTGCGCACAAACGCCGCGACCCACCTGGCGCGGATCATTCTGTTGTCATGTCCAAGCTCAGCGAGGACGAATGCGCAGAAGAAACAAAACTTTGATGAGCGCATCGTGTAGAGCTCGTCGAGAGGAATAGACTGCCGTATCGTTCGCCTTCAACAGACATAAAATGATGTCGCAACGCGGTTCATGCGAGAGCCGGGGGCTTATGGGACACCGGGTCCCGCCATAACGTTCAACTGCTATCTCGGACGCTCACCAGCACCCAGGTCACCAATGGAGCGACACCACGGGTACCCCTCACAATTCTAGTCACCCTTGACCAGCGCTCCCTGGTGGCCCTCCTCCGCAGGTTGCGCACTCCTGCAACTCGGACCGCCGCTCGGTAGGACTCGGTGGCCCACCACTGACCATTCTCCGCAGCCTTCAGCACCACCTTAGTGGCTACGCCCAGGTCCAGCCTGCCCTCAGAACGCACTGTTCCAACGCGCTGGCAAGTGCTGCCTCGTGCAGTAAAATGGCCGCCCAAGTTGCAATGGCCGACCTTCAACAACCCGACGACCCGAGAGCTCTTCACCTCGCTCTGCCTGGTTGGTTCAATCACTGCACGGTTCCACTGCACGGAGTACTGTCCAGCATGTTCCCAACAAGCCACCTTCAACACATTCCTGCGGAGGGAGCTGGTTGGAACGTTGGGTTGCTCGGTCAATGGCCTGCAGGGTCAACGGCGGCGTGGTGTATTCCGCAAATATGGCCGACTGTGAGGGCGGGCACAAGCCGGCGTGAGTAGGTGAAACGTTGAGTTTTATAAGGGCACCACGGGGTGACCAGCCCCTCCCCACCCAGCCCCACCCTCCCCACCCAGCCCCTCCCCATCCTCCCCTCTCCACCCAGCCCTACCCCTCCCATTTTTGGATGCACGATGGACGGACACAATAATCCCCTGTGGGCTGGTGTAACCAGGAGGTTCCTTCCAGTAAAAAAGGAAAAATAAATGAAAGAACGTCTCTCTAGCAAACTGTCCCCCTGAACCATCCCTTTAAATCCACCCTCAGGTGCCGAGCTCCACTTCACTCCACCGCCACCAATGGGGCTACCCCAAGGCCGTAATTATATATTGGATACATCCCCCCAATATTCAAATATGCTCAAAATGTCCCCCCCCCCAATATATTGCTATAAAATAGATTTCTGTTTATATGATTGTGGTTATGGTTGTACTTTATTCATCCCTAATCTCTCCCATCACATACAATGAAACAAGAAAAGCTAAAAAAGAAAAAAAACAGCAATGTAATACAATACACTATTAGACATTATTGTAAAAAAAACATGTTAGTGAATTTCTTAATATTTTAGGCAGGAAATTCGTTTGGTCGCCCGCAATGTTGATTCCATGGCTACAGGCCTTGGGAAATAGTAACTTTTAAAATATAAAAAATAATACCGTGCCCCGTGTGAGGATCGAACTCACGACCTTCAGATTATGAGACTGACGCGCTACCTACTGCGCTAACGAGGCCCCGGCGGCCAACACTGGGCGAGCAGCCCTCTTATAATCAAAGCCACCGCGATACCTTCACCGTGAGTCTACACGGGGTCCGTGAGCCGTCGTCAGGAGCCCACGGGCTCTGGGCAACTCACGCACAGCGCGGGACCTCCACACACGCCACGGGTCCTCACGATAAACAAGCTCGCGCCGTGACGTCACTCGAGGGTGGTAACATGACGTCACTATTCAGCGGGAGAGGGGGTGACGTCATGCCACGTTGTGTGGGGGGGGGGGCGTGCCCACGTGACGGAGACGCTCGCCGCTGATTGGACCGGCGCGAAGTCCGGAAGCGCGGATCAGCTGAGCCGCACGTGACCCTCCGACTCTCCCCGCAGCTCCCCAGCCAGTGAGTTGAGAGACACAGAGAGACACAGAGGGACACAGAGAGAGACACAGAGAGACACAGAGAGAGACACAGAGAGACAGAGAGACACAGAGGGACACAGAGAGAGACACAGAGAGACACAGAGAGACACAGAGGGACACAGAGAGAGACACAGAGAGACACAGAGGGACACAGAGAGAGACACAGAGAGAGAGAGAGGGACACAGAGAGAGAGCGGCACCAGCACCACCACCAGCACCAGCACCACGCTCTCATCTACAGCTCCCCAGCCAGGTGAGTTGAGAGACACAGAGAGACACAGAGGGACACAGAGAGAGACACAGAGAGACACAGAGAGAGAGAGAGCGGCACCAGCAGCACCACCACCACCACCAGCACCACCAGCACCACCACCAGCACCAGCACCACCAGCACCACCACCAGCACCAGCACCACCACCAGCACCACCAGCACCAGCACCACCAGCACCACCACCACCAGCACCACCAGCACCACCACCAGCACCACCAGCACCACCAGCACCACCACCACCAGCACCACCACCACCAGCACCACCAGCACCACCACCAGCACCACGCTCTCATCTACAGCTGCCCCCAGGTAAGTTGAGAGACACAGAGCGGCACCAGCAGCACCACCACCACCACCAGCACCAGCACCACCACCAGCACCACCAGCACCACCACCAGCACCACCAGCAGCAGCAGCAGCACCACCACCACGCTCTCCCCTACAGCTCCCCAGGTAGAGAGAGACACACAGAGAGAGAGTGGGGGGCACGCTCTCCCCTACAGCTCAACAGGTAAGGTAATTTACCCTTTTTACCGGGTAAAAGGGTAAAGGTGTCGATATGCCAGGGGGTAAGGTACAGGGTACAGGGTAAAGGTAGCGTCAAGTATTACCCGGTAAACACGGTGCCTTGTTTACCGCTAGAAGCTCCGTGGCGCAGTCCGTGGCCTCCATTTAATAAGTAATATTTTAAAAACTTTTTTTTTAAACACGCTTTTATTAAATGTGCGAGTAATGGCAGAACTCCACCGACTCCAGGAAGTGGCCCCGAGGCTTGCCATGAAGTAAGGGGCTGTAGCCAATTACAGCCAACGTCAGTTGAGCGTGGACAGTTAGACCCAAGCCGAAACATAACATATCCAAAAATAATGTTGTAAAATATATATTTTTATGATAGAATATAGTATTGTCATCAGTATGACATAAGTATACTAAGTTTGCAGTCGATAGCACATTAGGAAGTGGGTAAAAATTTAGTTTCAAGATTTGAGGATACAACAACAATAACGACAACAACGACAGACAGTGAGTTAAAATAAAGCGTGTAAAATTGGAATCATCGAGAGTATTCTATATGATTAAAGCGCTCTACCTATAGCATTTACCGTTATAAACCTTGTCCATGTGTAGTAGTTCCCTAGTAATTACCCTGTAATCGGGTAATTGGTATGGGGTAAGGGTAAAAGGTAGGGTAAAGGTAGGCTCGTTGTTTTTACCTTTTAACTTTGACCTTGCCGAGGCCTAAGCACCAACCACCAGCACCACGCTCTCCCCTACAGCTCCCCCAGGTAGAGAGACACAGAGAGAGAGAGAGCGGCACCAGCAGCACCACCACCACCAGCACTACCATCAGCACCACCAGCACCACCACCAGCACCACCACCAGCACCACCACCAGCACTACCACCACCACCAGCACCACCACCACCAGCACCAGCACCACCACCAGCACCACCACCAGCACCACCAGCACCACCAGCACCACCAACATCACCAGCACCAGCACCACCACCAGCACCACCACCAGCACCACCAGCACCACCTAGAGAAGACACAGAGAGAGGAGCGGCACCAGCAGCACCACCACCACCAGCACTACCACCAGCACCACCAGCACACCACCAGCACCACCACCAGCACCACCACCAGCACTACCACCAGCACCAGCACCACCAGCACCACCACCAGCACCACCACCAGCAACACCACAGCACCACCTAGCACCACCAGCACCAGCACTACCACACAGCACCACCACCACTACCAGCACCACCACCAGCACACACCAGCACCACCACAGCACCACCACCACCACGCTCTCCCTACAGCTCCCCACAGCCCCCCCGCCCCCCCAGGTAGAGAGAGTCACATGGAGAAAACAATGGCCGGCAGGCTCTGTTACCCTATTTGTAGTTTTGTATTTTTATATTGTATATTATAGCTATCTTATATTTTACTTTATTAATTCTTTTACATACTTTAGCCCCTTAGGTATTGGTTAGACTTTGTACCTTTAGTTTAGTTAGACTTGTACACCACTTATTTAAGATTTAAGATTCCTATATGTTGAATGTATGCACCTTCCTGCCAAAGTAAATTCCTTGTCTGTGCGAACTTTCACGGCGAATAAAATCCTTTCTGATTCTGATAAAGACGCATCACAAGAAGGAACATTCGAAATGAACGATCGCAAATTGTGACGAAAAAATTGGCCGGGAACAAATATATCGTTTAAAAAAACCACTCGTAACAAACAAAAAGTTTCGTGCCTGGTGACAACAGCCCTCGTGCGTAAAGAGACGATGGACCGTTCGTGGCCTGATGACGATCGCCCGTGTTGCAATCGAAAGGTCGTGATTTGTTTCATTTCAATGTATCCCTAACCACGTGACTTTACCGAAAGAACCAAAGAGTGTGGACGATGGGGGCCGCATGGGCCTCCGTTGCGTCGCCTGTGGGTCCACCTTGCATCGCAGCGCGAATGAGACGCTGCGGCTCGCAGGGACGCCATGGTGGTAGTGGTCGTTGTGCCGGGCGCGTCCCCAGGTGATGCCGCAATGATGACGCCAAGCGTCGGCTAATGGTGACGGCCGCTCCCTCCTCGTCATCCTTCCGTGGCGGTGAGATGACGCCGGCTCGCGGGGACGACCAGAGGGCCGCTCTTCTCAGCCCCGACAGACGCCCGCGTGACGGCAGCGGCACGGACCGCTCCCCGGGCCTCCCAGCGCCCGGTGCCGGTTCCGTGAACTCGCCGACGCTCGGCGATGACGGCGATGACGTCGATGTCGGCGTAGGAGGTGGTGGAGGAGGTGGAGGGGATGGAGCGGAGGGAGGGACGGCGGCTGCCGGCGCGGTGTTCATCGTGGTGAACGCGGCGCTCGGCGCGGGCCTCCTCAACTTCCCGGCAGCGTTCGGTGAGGCCGGCGGAGTCGTGGCCGGATTCTCCCTGCAGATGGTGAGGCCCTGACGAGGGCACCACAGAGACACGGGCACCACAGAGACACGGGCACCACAGAGACACCGCAGAGACACCACAGAGACACCGGCAACACAGAGACACGGGCACCATGGAGACACGGGCACCACAGATACACGGGCACCACAGAGACACGGGCACCACGGAGACACGGGCACCATGGAGACACGGGCACCACAGATACACGGGCACCACAGAGACACCACAAAGACACCACAGAGACACCACAGAGACACGGGGCACCACGGAGACACGGGCATCACAGAGACACGGGCACCACAGAGACACGGGCACCACAGAGACACCACAGAGACACCACAGAGACACCACAGAGACACCACAGAGACACCACAGAGACACCACAGAGACACCACAGAGACACCACAGAGACACGGGCACCACAGAGACACGGGGCACCAGCCGTGTTTGTGCGTTGCATAATTCCCGCTTGTCCCCGCCCCCCCCCACCTCTCCGTGCGGCAGGTGCTGCTGGTGTTCATCGTGAGCGGCCTGCTGGTGCTGGCGCTGTGTGCGTCCCGCTCGGGCGCCGCCTCCTACCAGGAGGTGGTGCGCGCGCAGTGCGGCCCGCTCGCCGGCGCCGCCTGCGAGGGCTGCATCGCGCTCTACACGTTCGGCACCTGCGTCGCCTTCCTCGTCATCGTGGGCGACCAGCTCGACATGCGTGAGTCGGCCCGCTCACCCGCCGCTCACGTGGTCACTCAACCACCTGCTCGCTCGCTCACCCGCTCAGCCGCTCACTCAACCACCTGCTCGCTCGCTCACTTGCTCACCCGCTCACCCGCTCACGTGGTCACTCAACCACCCGCTCACCCGCTCACGTGGTCACTGAACCACCTGCTCGCCCGTTCACCCGCTCACTCGCTCACGTGGCTGCTCAACCATCCGCTTGGCCGTTCACCCGTTCAACGGCTCACCCGCTTCCGTGGTCACTGAACCATCCGCTCGCCCGTTCACCCGCTCACTCGCTCAACCGCTCACGTGGTCACTCAACCACCCGCTCGCCCGTTCACCCGCTCACTCGCTCAACCGCTCACCCGCTCACATGGTCACTCAACCACCTGCTCACTCGCACAACCGCTCACCTGCTCACGTGGTCACTCAACCACCTGCTCACTCGTTCTCCCGCTCAGCCGCTCACCTGCTCACGTGGTTCCTCAACCTCCCATGTTCACCCGTCCGTATGTATGTGTGTTCATGTTTATATCGTAGTCTCATGGTAATGAATTGAAGGTGGAGGGGTTACCAGCCCCTCGCACCCGTACAGAGCCCCCGTTTAGCCACTGTGGTGGTCACAGACGCCATGAGGGGAGAGGCCAATGGGCATTAGTCCTCCCCACACAGCAATGTCCACGACAGTGTTGCCCGTCCGGCACCGCGAGGAGGTAGGGGGTTGTTTTGCCAGACAACTCCCAATCGACGATGGGGCAGTAGTGAAGAGAGTGGAGAGTTTCCCATACCTGGGCAGTGTGCTTATGACCGGCTCCAGTTTAACAGCAGAGGTCTCACTCCGAATCAGTCGAGCGGCAATATCATTTCATAAGCTGCATAACGCTGTGTGGAAGCTACCTGGTCTGTCGCTCCGCACGAAGCTTCAGGTCTTCTCGGCCACGGTCATTCCCTCCCTTCTCTACGCTTGCTAAACGTGGACCCCCCTCATGGAGCATCTTTGCCGGTTGGAAACATTTAGGCTGGCCTGCCTACGATCCATCCTGGGTTTAACCAGGCTGGATTGTGTAAGGAGCTCACAAATTCTTGAAAGATCTGTGCAAAGTCCCATCGGTGAGCTCCTCCGGCAGGCAAGGCTGCGTTGGCTGGGTCATGTAGCCCGCATGCCCAGCCACCGCATGCCTAAACAGCTTTTGTTCGGCCGGATCGAGGGGACTAAACGGGCGCGGCACGGGCTAGAGAAGAGATGGAGTGATGTGGTACAGGAGGACGTGGAGCTGAGTGGACTTGCCGATGACTGGTACCAGCGGTGTCAAGATCGACCTCTGTGGAGGAGGCTCGTGAAGGACGCTACTGGGCAGTTGGAGGCAGTCGCCCTCCAACAACAACGAAGGGCGGAGGAGCGACGCTCACAACAACGAGCGGAGCGCCGGGTGGCTAAAGCACAGCAATTTGGCACAGTAGGGGGCACAGGTGGTGCATCAGCCAGTCATCTCGGTCATCTCGGTCAGTCGACCCGTGGCACCTGCTGGGTCTACCCCGTGACCTCCTGCCAGCGGGCGTTCGATACTTCACGTGGCCTCAAGGTGCACATGGCCTGGCACAAACGTCGTGGTGACGTCACCGCCACTTAGTGGAGAAGGCGGTTGTTGTTGTTGGTTGTGTAGTGGTGCAGGCCGTGTCTCACCGGGCTCCCGATGCGCCCGTGCCCTGGTTCTGCGACCGTCGCTTCACGACCTCCGTGGTCTCCGTGCTTCTCATCCTGCCGCTCTGCTTCCCCCGCGAGATCGGGTTCCAGAAATACGCCAGGTGAGACGGTGGCCGCCATTGTGAACCGATTGGTACACACGCGCACGCACGCACGCACACACGTACACACACGCACACACGCACACACACACACGCACACACACGCACACACACACACACGCACACGCACACACACGCACACACACACACACGCACACACACACACGTACACACACGCACACACACGCACACGCACACACACGCACACACACACACACGCGCACGCACACACGCACACACACGCACACACATGCACACACGCACGCACACACACGCGCGCACACGCACACACGTGCGCACACACACACACACGTGCACGCGCACGCACGCGCACACACGCGCACACACGCACACACACACACACGCGCACACACACACACGCACACACACACGTACACACACACACACACGCGCACACACACGCACACACGCACACACACACGCGCATGCACACACGCGCACACACACACGCACGCACACACACACGCGCACGCACGCACGCACACACGTGCACGCACGCACATGCACACGCGCAAGCACGCACGCACCACACACGTTCACGCACGCGCACCCCGCACGCACGCACACACACGCACACGCGCACACACCACGCACGCACACGCGCACACGTGCGCACACACACACAC